AGCCATTTCTGGGGTGCCACGGGGAAAGGGGAGACCCTTGCGCTAAGGAGCACCGGCTGATGAAGACAGAAATTCAGTCGTGTGGGTGACAGGGTTCAGACCGTATTTGTTCCTGAAACTTCGTTCACTTAAAGGTATAAATGAGTTTTTTTCGCTTACTTTTTGGCGTGTGAAATTATTCCACGCTTTCTTCTGCGGAGCGATCAAGTGGTTTTTGGGGGGGCGGGGGTGTGGAATAGGCAGAGCGGCCTGCCCGTGTAGCCGAGTCCTTGCGGCGGGCCTGCGCGGGGGTTTCCCCCTGGGGCACTGTTACCAACAGCAGCAGAGGAGCAGGGTGTGTGCGCCGCTCGCTTGACAGGCACCTCTCTGTTCGCTGCAGGGCCTGAGTGAATATAAGAGAAACTTCAGATGGAAAAACCCAGAGTTCTGTAGCCCGTCCCAGCAGCAGAAATCCTTGTGGGCAGGACTTCGGTCGGATCAGTTCGGTAAGCGGCGCTGAGAGCTGCCCCTTGATGGCAAACCCTCTGGTGAAGATGAGGAGGTCCTGGGCTGCAGGAGGTCTGGAGGGATTTGCTGTGACTGAGTGCCTGACCGCACCAAACCGCTAGCGCTAGCAGTTTGTACACTTTATACAGTTAAGAGTATACTCATGGTCATCGTGGTTTTGAATACCATATTCTTTCTGGCTACGCTGAAACTTTCTTTTAATATTAGAGCTATTTATATAAAACATGAAAAATACATGGTTTCTGACGTGTGGCATAAGCTGAGTCCCAAACATGAAGCACAGAGGTAGTGTTAACCTATACAGGGTGTGTGGAAGCAGGCATTGGGTTACCTGTGGTGCAGGGAAACTAATAAAAATTCTGTATTTAGGAGGAGACAAACTTGGGGCAAAGTTTGATGCAAAGTAAAATTCTTAGGAAGACTTACAGGGACAGCTAACTGAAAAAAAAAAAAAGAGCATTAAACAGAAAAGCTTGTGATGCTATAGCCTAGGACTTAAGGATTGTATACATTAACATGGCAGGAAAATGTGGGATTGGGAAGTAGAAGACAAAGGAAGTAGCATCTGGGTTGAAAGACCTGTAGGAGTTGAGGAATAGGAGTAAGCTGGAGAGCGAAGACAACTGCAGTGCTTTGAAAAGGAGCAGTAGAAAACAGCAATTACTGTGGTGGCACAAGGCAGATTGACGGAATTGTGCAATTTGGTTCAACTGCACTACACAGTCTGTGTAATTAGAGTCTGATGTATGAATTCCCACAATATGATGTGTTCGAAATTACGGCCTAATAATTAAGAACTGACCACTAGGAGTAGGGTTTTTTTTGGTTGCGATGCTAGACATTTCAGTAAATAATTTTGATAAAGTTCATGCTTTATATATATTATTGTTTTCTTCCATTACTGCAAAATATATATTTCTTTAACCTTGCTTTCCCTAGCGCATGGCTCTGTGTATGGGTACCTGTATTGAAGTGTATAACTTCCATGAATTCTGGAGCACCTGAACATCCAAACACATTAACTTCTAAAAATTGTAATCTATGCTTCTTTTCCAGTCAAACTAAACTGCAAATTTTACAAGGCTTGCAATAAAGTCATGAGTTAGCAATACAGCAGTTTCTCCTCCTCCTCACTTTGTAGTGGTGGTTTTGTGCGTGCTTCGTGTAGTTTTCCTACATCTTTGCTTTCATTTTCACTCCCACCTCTTTTCTGGCCATTTAACCATCTACATCTTCAAATGTCACTCTTGACACTTCATAGGACTTGTGGATTGTTGTTGATAATTCACTTATGGTTCTGTTGAAACACATAGTTGGCAGTTTCAGGAATGACTTGGAACATCACCACAAGAAGTTAACAGCTGCAGGTGTTCCGAGTTCCTTCCTGCTGCTTTCCCAGTGTTATTCCACTGGAATTATTTCCTCCTACCTGTATGTGTAGTCGGACATCCAGATATTCTGCATACCTTTCATCATAGGTTGCTCTCTCTTTCTACGTTGCTTTTTCATGAGATAGGACTTTCCCTCTCTCCTAGAAAGTGTTTCTTTCAGCTAGTTGGGGCCTTCACTTATATTTCCGTTGCAGTGGAGGACTCTGCAGTTGGATTGTGATTTCCTGCGTTAAATATGTTCAGTCATTCAATCCTCTTCTTAAAATGGTGGGGTAAATTTATTTTCATCTGCATGTGTAAAGGCCAGCAATTCTTTAAAGTAACTTGATACATGGTTTTGTTACATAGTCTTTTTACAATTTTGTAAATGTTTTTGTGTTGGTACTGTAAAAAGTCACCAGGCATCTGAGATGGTTTTAAATCACAGTTGTATTAGGTGGATAGAGGTCTGTCACTGTCTGTCACAATCGATGAGAACCTGTTCAGCAAGGTATATTGTGCATGTGTAATGAGAAGTGTTTGTGGCATACTTGGTCACTGCAGGTTGGTTATTCTGTGTCTGTGTTAACCACATTCTTTTCACTGGCTATGTTAATTTTGTTGTTGTTCAACTCCCAGAATCAACTTGCAACAGATTGTTCTGTGGCCATATTTGCTTTACAGGGTTTTGTCCAATATGGTCCTGGAGCACTGTGTTCCCATCTCTGTTTAGTGGAAAGGAAAGGCATTTGCAGATAGGACAGAAGACAGAATTTCACAGCCATGCCCATAGTTCATAGGCTGTTGTTGCCCAAAGGTACTGAGATAGTTTTTTCTAATCATCAGTTGTATGATAAGCTTTCAGTTTATTCTTGTAATACAGTGATATTATGTCTTCAATAGAATGTTTTTGTTAAACCTAATATATCTTTTTCAGGAATCACAAGAGAACCAAACTTCATTTCAAAGAGAAGGGTACCTTACCATCATCCACAGATTTCAAAGTCGCTTGAATGGACAGCAGATTGCGATTTGAATGACCAGCTTGAAACTGAAGCTCTTGGCACTGCAGAATTGCACACAGACCGCAACAACAATGATGTGAATCAGGAAAAAATGGAAACGCCAGAAGGACCCAGACTCCTCTCAAGAGTTCGGTCACGTTCTGTGGATTCTAGAGGTGAAACAACTCTTGCCCTTGCAGAAAACAACATGGAGAGGTCACCCTCTGCAGCTCCACCAAATCAAAATGAAGCGTTTTCATCTCCAAGAAAGGAAGTAAAAAAAATGGGTAATGGGGTAAGGGAAGGTTTTGGTTTTTTTAATTGACCAGTATAAAAATTACTAATCTGATACTTAGAGTAATTTAATGCACATACACCAGCTTCTGTTGTCTAACTCTCTCCTTAGTTCTGTATTTTGATATTCTACATTGTAGCTTTTCTGTTGGGAGAACAGTACTTTTGAGACCAGATTTTGGTTCAATAGGAATTTGCCCTTCATGTGCCGTTGCTATTGATTTCAGTTAAACAAGGAGTTAGCCAATAATATATAGACTTTTGGGGGTTGTTTGCTATAATGAGAAAATGTACTTTGCATTAATTTCATTCATACAACCAAAGCCCAGACCATTGGCTTGAAACTGTGCATTGAAAGATACGTGATTTGCAAAACATTGTAGGAAAGGGAACAATTGGTGTTGTTTATATTTTTCTTTTTTTTATGTTGTCAGCTTCACAGAGTCCTTCAGAGGAAAGGAGGCATGAATATTTCACAATTAAATACTTTCCCCAGAAATTCTGAATATCAAAGCCAATTCATTTGGAAGAATCCTCGTGAAAAGTCACCAATACTTGCAGCTGAACAGGTAACTTTAAAGAATCCATAAAATAAATGCATTTATTTATCAGCAAAGTTACTTACCTTCCAAGATTTCCTTTCTTCCTCTTTTTGGCAAGGGAACGCCGAAGTTGAGTGTTGTTACGTGATTTTTTTTTTCTCTTTCCTCTCAATACACAGAAGTGCAGTATAATAGATTTCTTCCCCTGTGATCCTTTATTGCAGTCAGGTCTAATTACTCGTTCTCCTTATTTTTGGTTGTATCCATCCTTTCTAACAGGACCATTTTATTCTGTTTGCATTAATTTACTTTAGGAGCTGTAAGATCTGACTCAATGTTACCCTTCATTTTTATCATTTTTATCCTATCTAGTGTATGTAGCTAATCAGCAGAGGAATGTTCAGGTGTTTTGTATTGTAACAACATGTCTTGCCACTGAAATCGTTCAGTTTCACTATTTATTCGCATGGTCTTTTATGGTTTTCCACAGTTTCATATTTTCAGTCTCCATCTCTGTGCACATATAATTCTAAGCCCTAAAGTGCGTCTCTATAGTGCTTTTTCTTTCATGAGAACTGCTTATATTTGGAGTCTTCTGATTTTAAGACACCCTTGTGGCATTTTAATACATCTTGTGAGTTTTTGGATTTTGTAGGATTGGAAATGCTGCTGCTTCTAATCAGACCACAAAGAGGAACTCTGATCATGAAACTGCATTGTGTTTTCAGTTCACTGCTACTGGGATCAGGACTTAGGAGACTCAGTCCATCATTTGGTCATTTTACAGTATAAAATAGGCATTTCTGCTTTTATGATGTCTTCTGTTTCTTCACTGGGAGCATATACATTAATGAGATTATTACAGATGGTGCTTTCTCTGTTTTTACCCACAGGTAGCAGATTTGTTCAGTAACAGCTTTCAGAGGCAATAAATGTTCATAACTAGGATCAATCACTATAAAAATTGTACCTGTCTTTTTCGTGTTGGAATGCCAAGCAGGTGGACTTACTTTGAGATACCTGTTTCCCAGCAGTCCCGTATCCAAGGAAAACTCACTGAGATGTGTGACAGTAGTGTAGAGGCGAAAGGGTCGTTTGAGGAAGAGGCAGGTCCCAGAAAGTCACTTTATGGAAAATGTTGTGGAAAGTGCCATTTGATTCTATTATAAATCAGTTTGATAATTTTATTAGTGATGCTTGTAGTCACTATAAATCCTTAGATAAATAGAACTTGGAGAAAATCTAAATATGTGTAAACATTTGCAGGTTCTAAGATTCTTAAGATTAGAATTTCATGATAAAAATTATACATATTACAAACTCATATGCTTTTGATTGTATTGATACGGTGGAGAATATACCTGAATACTGAATAATGACAGTACCTTTCCCTTGAAGAGGTTCTGTGAGAATATCAAAGTTACCCAGGTTAGGTTATAAGTCAGACCTAAACTCTCATAGCAAAGCTGGCGAAAATGTGTGCTTGTGACATATGGCATGGTCTTTTAATACAACACCCCGTGAGGAGATGATACCTGACCATGTCTTAGGGAAATTCTCTACCTTGGTTTATAATACAGTGTTGACGGGAAAATAGTGGATAGCTCAAATTACCAAGCCCTAAGCATCCTGTTCTAAAACACAGAACAGTTGTCTGTTAACTTACGGACTGGACATGTACTGCGGACTCATAGGGAAATTTTATGGCATATGTTTTAGAAAATGTGGTCCCACATGCAACTTTGAAGGTCAACTGTCTTCCCAAATAAACAAAACCTCAGTGTTTCATGACAGGGCTAGCTTTGTCTGACTCGGTCACTTTTAAATAGATTTTTATCAGATTAAATTTCAGTTTGTCCTAGAAGTTAATTAGTCTGCACATGCTGTATTTGTACACATGACTCTCTCTCTGCTCATATGTGAGTGTATTTGTATGAAGTGGTTAACTGGTTTTGAAAAATTAGCCTTAAGGTAAGCAAATCACACTGTTTTGTTTTGTTTTCTTTCCCCCAAAGGTTATCTGCAACACAAGTAAATCCATACCTCTGTTTAAATCTCCTGCAATTACTTCTGAAACTGCATATGAGAGAAATTTCAAAGGATCTCTTCCTGCTGGGCGTCCGCAAGAGAGAGGTGGTTCAGAAGAGAAAGAGTTTCCAGTTTGTGAACAAGTAAATACTTCCCTAAAAGAAAGGCATTAGTATACTTATCTCATTTTGGTTGTTCTTTAGTATAGTGTGGGGGTGGGTTTATTTTGAAATTGTTTAGTTGCATTTTATAGCTGTTGCTAATGCCACTGGACTCAGTAGTGGTTTTGCTATATGAGACTGAAAATAGCGCTGTACAGCTGTGTTTCTCTCAGGGGTTTCTGTAGTGGGTTCTGTAGTTTCTGCAGTGTGTTTGCTCGGTTTACAATGACATTTTGAGTGTGTTTTTCCTGTCGCCTTAATTTATGAGTTTTCAAGTTTGTTTTTTCCTTTTCTTTTTAAATTGAAACTTTGTGTTCAGTCATTAGGATAGTTTCTGAAATCTAAATCTCCCAATTTATGCTCTTTGGTACCACTGTAGTGTCTTGGTATGCAGACGGGCTGAATGGGAGATCTGGACCTTTTTGGGTCTCATAAATCAGACATAGTGTGCATTAAAAAAAAAAATTCATGTATGGAAGATGCCACAGCTGGAACTGATTTTCAGCCAATAGTAATTTGAAGAAACATGGGGGAAGGGTTACAATTCATTTCGCTTTGCCTTAATAAGTTGAAAGGTAAGTGTAGGGCTGTAACAGGACATGGTGTAGCCCGTGTAGGCTCTGTTACTCAGCTGAAAACATTGAAATGTCTTTATGAAAGTAATTTGGCTGTCTGAGGCCTTGCATTTCCTTGTCTTGCTGTTGGCTTGGACAAACATAAGTGGACTTACAGGAAACATGGCTATAGCTGTTTTAACAGATACTTTTAATAGAACGGAATTGTTTCGGACTGACACCTTCTAAAAATAGGTGATAGCAATATCGACTGCATGACAGCTAACCTCTTTTGCAAGCTGGACAGAGGAATGTCTGTTTTTGTAGCAAGCTGCCAAGTGTAGTGTTGTCTAAATTCCTGCAGGTTAGCTAACCATCTTTCAGGTAGGAGGGCGGCATACAAGTCTCTTCAGCACCCATCTCTGTTCTTAACAGAAATGGCCACTGGTGAAGAAAGCTTAAAAGGCAAGAGGTTTTCAGGAAGCGTAACTTTGTTTTTAATGTTGGAAATTCAGGTTATGTTTTCCCAGGAGAGCTAATAAAATGAAGGAAGAGAAGGCATGAGAAGGGAATTTTGATGACAGTGTCTAAAATGTTTTGTTTATACTGATATCTCTTCTCTGATGAATACCTTGAAGAAGTTTTGGAGGATTTTGGTGGGCTTTTTTTTTTTGCTTTCCTTTTTTTTTTCCTCCTTGAATTTGAACAACATATGTGAAGATCTCTAGCAGAGTCACAAATCATGCATGAGATTTCTGGGAGGAGGAAATAAGCAGGAAACCAAAAATCTTTGATGTGAAAACTGAACAAGTCAATCCAACCCTTTATAAACCAGAATAGCAGCAAATTAAAAATATGCCTTTTGGTTTATTATGAATTGGTTTATATTGCTTGGCTGTAAAGCTAAGTGTTTTTTTATTTATTACAAATTCCACAGATATATGTGTTAAGTCTTACACAACTCAAGTTAGAATGCACAGGTATTGCATTATTTTATTTCTGTGTATCATGTTAAATTCATTTGGTAAAGCGTTCAAAATGGATCTTCTAACTAATGGAATGTTGCATGCAGAATCTTAGCTTTGGCATTTTGCTGGTTTATTTTTGTATTAACAAAGGAATGTAATATTCTTGTTTGTATTAAATATGCAAAACAGTTAACACTAAAATAAAATTACCTTTTGAAAAAGCTTGATGTCAAAAGGAATATGAGGGTTTTCAGATTGTTAGCTAATGTGGTATTTTTAAAATTATCTTTGCCTTAGAGTAAGAGGGAAGAACCGTTTCAAAAGCCAGCAGAAGATGCAGCAAAACAAGGGAAATCAGAACAGAAACATCCTAAACAAAAAAATAAGCAACATATCAGTCCAAAGCCCCTCTCTTTACTTACAAGTCGTGGGTATGTATCATACAGGAAAACCTAGCCTAGTGAATAGGTGTACAGCAGCCTAATATTTAGAATCACAGAATGGTAGCGATAACCTTTAACTGCACCATTGTACTGTTGCAAGGGCAAATGCAATGTCTGTTCCCTTGCAGCACTGGGATTGAGCTTTCTGCGGGTGCATCTAAACCTGGTGTTAATTTCCATCCCCTTTTCTGGGCAGCAGAAGGGGAAGCTTTGGAACCACACTTGTTCAGTTGAACCTTTGGTGCAATAATAATATTATTCATAAATTTAACATGGCTGAAATTAAATTGGTGCAGTTCTGCTACTAAACTTTCAGCAAGTGCTTTGGAAGTTGTAATCACCTTTCAAACTGCTCTCCTGTGCTTGCTCCACGCCTTAAAACTGTGATGATTGTACTTGATGTCTGCTTCTTCTAGTCCCTACCACCTTCTGTCCCAGAGTAGCAAAAGCAAACCCATGAGGTAAAGGGAAATAAATCTGTCCCCGTTTATGGTAATCTGACAAGCATGGAAGTAAAATGGAATTGTATGTTACTGAGAGCTATCCAAGTATCTTTTTGTTCTGCCACATACCTACATCGCAGAAACTGAACTCGTTTCCATTTTCTACACATCTGAGATACGCCAAGAGAAATAAAAATCCAGAATGGTTTTTAGAATGCACAAATTAATCCATCTCTGCTCTCTTTATGCTTAGTGTATGTCCCAGTTGCTTTCATTTGCATGACTTTCTGGCAATGTTAACACATTATGTTGAAGATGAGAGAGGAGACTTACCTAGGTCTGAAGGCTGTTGGATATTGGGAGATAATTACAAAATGATCACCCAAAATACTATGACATAAAATTGCTTTATGAAAAAGTGAGTGGATATGGTGTAGTTAAAACCATTAACTCTTTGGTTGTCACAGCTCTGACGTAGTAGATTGTAGTCAATTTTGCAGTGAGTACATGTAGAGCTCTTGATCATTTGCTAAGACTTTTTTCATTTAAGGATAATTTTCTGCCTCTTATGCCTTTAGTGTGGCAGCACAAGACAAAAGCTTCCAAAACAGTTGCTGGACAAATAACTGTCAAAATGTGCAAGTTTTCCATATACAGACAGGACTGTCACTTTATATGCAGCCTGCATTGCGTGGCCTGCTGTTGCAGCAGAATGACTGGGATCAAGGCACTAGTGGTGCAGTTTTTGAGCTAATCCATTAGCTTTGCAACCAAAACTGAAGGAATTCTGTCATTTTCAAAGAAAGGGACATATGGAAAGAAATTTTGAAGAGAAGGGGTTTTTTTGCCTTAGTATTTTTCTTTTTACAAGGTGTATTTTATTCTCTGTCTTTAGGCTTTTATGATCTATTTCTGAAGAAGGGCTGAAAAAGAGAGCTTTTTCACCCAGTGCTGAATATATGAAAAGTTAGTAATGTTCTGAAGCAAGATTAAAAACAAAAACCTCTTTAGATTTAAGGTGATAAATCCACAGTTCAGTGCTTAAGGACTTGAATTATTGCTTATTGACTGCTTTAGGTTAGATGATGTTAATTTTTCTGTGTATATATGTATGTGGCAGAAGGGAAAATGAATCCATCTTTTCAAGTACTGAGGCCTTGTGAAGATCAAAGGCAGTAGGACATAGTTGAATGAATTATACTGACTGTTGTTCTGGTAGTCAGATGTTTCTAGCCCCAACAGTTCACCCCACCCATATGCAGAGCTCCTTTAGAGTGGAGTTCATGGAAGGAAATGTCTAGGACACATTAGTGCCAAACCAGGCATTTTTACTTAAAAACACCTTCATCGGTGGCTTAAACCAGGTTCTTTCATTTTGCATTGAGTTAGTCGAGGCTTATGTATGTATTATGTTCTGCTGATTTGGCTGCCGGGGCAAAAGCTGCTGGTGGAAGGGTTGTGAGGAAAACCCGACAGGAGTAATTGCTTGAAGAGCCACCAGCTGTGAATGAGCTTTTTCACAGCTTTCCTGTTTATGTTGTGGATGAGCTGTGTTTCAAAGCATATGTTTTTTACATCTCAGCCCTGGCATTTAAGTATAAATACAATTATGATTGTTGATATAACATTAAAAGTGCTCTTAAAGAGTCTTCTGGATGTCAGCCTTTACTCATTCTTTCTTTTTTACCTGTTTCATTCTTGATTTCTTAGGAAGATGAACACTGAATATAGGTCAAAATTTTTGTCTCCAGCCCAGTATTTCTACAAAGATGGAGCTTGGTCTCGTATCAGGAGTAAAGTTCCCAACCAGGTGAGTATTCTTAGAAAATCTGAAGCTTGAGTATGCTTTGTATTTTGACTTTTACGTGCAAAAAAACATTGAATTGTGGTGTTTATAAGGTGCAGTTTTGACATTGTGATGCTAATGACTCAGGCTCCCAAAGGTGAGTATACAAAGAAGATTAAATTCTGACAAACCAGTATAATATGTAGTAAGAAAAAAGACAGTGTGACTTAAAGAATGTATTAATATGACATGCAAAGTGAGTATGGAGCTTTGTTTCCACTTACAAATCAGAGTCATCAAGAACAGAGTCTCATGGAGCAGGTAACTGTAGCATTGATGTTCAGTGCAGTTGTAATAAGCATAAGCTTTCAAAATGTAGAATTAGATGATAAGAGATTCCAAGGGAATAAAAGGGAAAGGCCAACATATGTATCAGCCTAGGTCAGCTTGATAGTCAAGATCAGTTTATTAGCTTGCCATGCTGAATCCATTCAAAGCAGTCAGCTAATGTCAGCCATAGACAGCACAAAATCAAGAATTCCTCTTGCAAGTTGCAGCCAGTCTAAGTATTTTCTTGTAGTTTATTCAGTAACTGCCATCAGTATTGTACTGTATAGGAACTCATTTGACAGAACTCTGAAAATGCTGAGCAGCTTCAGGACCATAGGATTTCTAAGCAGGATTGTTGAGTATGATTTCCTGAATTACTCAAGTAAATCAAAACCGTTAGCAGCGCACTAAGAAAGTGCTGAGCTAGTTCTGCAATTGTCAGATTTCACTGAACTGACGTAAGCTTCTCCCAGCTGACAGAGGGAGCCTTTGTGAGACACTGTGTGCAGCTAAATGTGTGGCAAATACTTAGAAATGTGAGTTTCCTCGTCAGCTGGGACCAAGCTGATGTGGAAGATAGAACTGGAGCATATGGCTATAGGGTGTTGGGCTTTGAGATTTTGAAAACAACATTCTCTGGGAATTGCAGGAGTAGTGTGGTAGCATTTCTCTGTTTTCTCACTGCACTTAGTCTACCAAGTCATCTTTTTAGGCAAAAAGAAATATGTATTGAATATGTACAAAATAATGAGAAATAGGTCTCAGAGTTTGAAGTATATCATATTATGTGATGATTCATAATCAGATTTTGTGTATGCATGCATGAGATAATCCATTCTGTGAAAACAGCCTCATGGGGATGTTAGAGGACTAAAAACAAACAATATTTTTATTTTTGATATATGCATTAGATTTTCTGTAACTAAGGCTGTAGAATATTCTGAACTGTTGCATGCAGCCTGACTAAGTGGTATACAGAATGTTTCTGTAGAATATTGCGTCATTTTCCTTGCATGTAAGACTTCCGTTTGCGGCCTGGATGTTGTGCCAGTAACATTCAAAACAGCCAGGGGCAGGGCTCAGCTTCAAGAGCAACTGACTGGTAGGCAAGTAAAGGGGAAGGGACGCATTGCCTTGAACTCATTGTGTTTGTGGCACAGCCAGCTGGGAGGAGTCTTTGCAGTACAGTTGAGGGAAGGATTGAGGAGACTGCAAGTGGAGGATGGGTGTTCTGCTTTGCCAGGCAGAATCATTTTTGGGCCGGGTTTGAGAGATGTAGGAAGTAAATATATGTGGCATTTAATTAGAGTGTATGAGAAATCGAGAAATTCTTGCACTGTAGATATGTCTTTTGGATGTGTCTGACTTTTCTATGGAGATTTTCTTGCTGACGAGGGAATTGCAGAGGAAACTAGAAGGAAGTCACTTGGGAGTAGGCATGAAGAATTAAAAAAAGAATTATTAGGATTTTTTAGGGCCTTCTAAATGAAGGAGTTGTGCTGCATAGCTGGAAGAGCCAAATTGATTTCAGGACTACAATAACAAGTGCTTGGTTGATGACAAATGTGTTTAGGTTACATACAAATTTTTGATTACATACACATTTTTATGTATGCATACCTACATTAGATCCTAGAATGAGTTCATATAGAAGAGAATTTTATAATTGGTATTACCTGTATTTCTCCTCTCTTGGTTAGATGTTAAATCACATGCCTGTGAGCATGTGTTGCGGCTTAATCCCAGTAGGCAGCTGAGCACCACACAGCCGCTTATTCACTCCCCTCAGTGGGATGGGGGAGAGAATCAGAAGGGTAAAAGTGAGGAGAGTTGTGGGTTGAGACAAAGACGGTTTAATAGGTAAAGTAAAAGCCGTGCATGCAGGCAAAGCAAAACAAGGAATTCATTCACTACGTCCCACCGGCAGACAGGTGTTCAGCCATCTCCAGGAAAGCAGGTCTCTATTGTGCCTTGTGGTTACTGGGGAAGACGAACGCTGTCACTTCCCATGTCCCCTTCTTCCTTGTCCTTCCCCCAGTTTTTATTGCTGAGCGTGATGCCATATTGCGTGGGACATCCCTTTGGTCAGCTGTCCCAGCTGTGTCCCCTCCCAGCTTCTTGTGCAGCACCAGCCTGCTCGCTGGCGGGATGGTGGGAGGAACAGAAAAGGCCTTGATGCTGTCTAAGCGCCCTTCAGCAGTAACTGGAACATCCCTGTGTTATCAACTCGTGTTTTCAGCGCAAATCCAAAACAGAGAACCATAGGAGCTATTATAAAGAAATTTAACTCTGTCCCAGCCAAAACCAGGACAGCGTATCAAACTAGTTTTGCTAGTAGACAAAGAATAATATTTAGCTTGTGTAAATGTGTTACTGTGTGGGATTTTTCCTGTATGGAGTTTTTTTAATTTGCTATTCTCCTGTTAAGATTTCCATATGTATCAGTGAGGGTTATAGTTCTTAAAAAGAAGCAAGGTAAAAGCTTGGAATTTTCCAGTCTTCAAGACAGGTTGGAATAAAACCAAGGTTAATTCTTAAAACTTCTGTTAATACAAGAATAAAAGTCCTGATTGACCTGGTTCTTGGCCAGGCTTTTTATTTTTTTTTTATTAGCATCCTTCAGTATTTTTATTATAAGAACTACAGAATGGGATCCGGCATGGTTAAAATAGTAGAACTGAATAAAATATTTCATTCACAGTTGAGACATAAGAAAGAATCTAGCTATTTGAGAAGTACATTAACAGCAGATTAATGTAAGTATGCATAACCTGTAGAAGTGTCAAGCACATTGGTTTTATAAGAAAGCAATAAAGCTACTTTGGCCAGTCACGATATAGGTTGCCCAGCAGTCCTTTTGGATTCTGAATGATTCTATACCAGTTCCCAATTTTTTTTGCTGATATGAAGAGAAATGTTCTGCAAAGCTGTGTCTAGCCTCTACCTTTGGTTGATCATTGAGACTCACCCCTGCTGCAGGTGCCTCCAGAACATCTCTGCCTTAGAGTAAGTGATTAGATGATAAGCTCTGACTGATCCAGTCTGGTTTCCCTCTTAGCAGGGACGGCACATGGATAACTTCAGGTCTGAAGCAGACTTTCTAAAGTTCTGAGCCCAAACAGGCAAAGACCATAGTAGACTCCTGGTATGACCTTAGCCATAGTCATTACTTCTAGACTGCTACTTTACAGTATATTGTTAAGGGTTGCTTTTGAACAATGAAAAAAATGATTCAAATGAAAAAATCTCTTCGAACTATGCTTTTGAAAAATTAATGCGGGCAATTCATAATCACACTAGGACTCTCTGGGGCCTGTGTCCTGCTGAGATAATGCTGCCTGCTGCGTCACTGAAGGAGACAGTTGTCCTTTGTACTTCTTCACAATTCACTGGAAACATAGTATTCTTCCTTCCCCTGCAATGTCCTGTTGCTCTGGATTTGTATTCTTTCTGTTGTGTCTATCATAATTAATTTTTCATTCTTCTACTTAAATTGAATAATTCAGTAGATCACTTCCACCTCAGACTTTAAACTCTCCTCTTAAAATGACAAGTATATATTTTGAATGGGCTATTCTTTGGATGTTTAGCAGGTCAAATTGTGGGATGCTGACAGATGTGGGTTAAGTGGATTTCCATCTGCTGCATTCAGTTACTTTTAGTTGGTTTAGTGGAATTTGGCCCACTTAACTCCATTCCTTGCAGGAAGAATGATGTGAAGTCTATCAAGAAAGTAGAATAGAAAAGAAAAGCCATGAAGCTATGCTAGAGGAAGTGTTAGTATTACTTTCCTGCTCTTTGACGAAATACTTTTCCTGTGAACCATTTTTTAGGGAGCCAAAATTCACACAATATCACAAAGTTATTTTTAATTGTATAAACATGAAAGTTTTGTTGTTGCTTTTTCTTCCTGCACTTTGTGTTTGAGCGAAGGGCACAAAGCACTGTGAGCGTTGAAACAGTTTTAGCCATAAAACTGGGAGCATAGAATCAACAGTGGAATGTCTAAGGAGAGGGCTCACCTTATTTTTTGAAGACTAAACCTGGCATTTCATCATTACAGTTACTGATAGCCTAGAAGGAATGAGTTTGATACTATGTCTTACATGTAATAGCACCAAGAGTTCTCATGTAGTCATCAACTCCTCACTGAGATAGGATTAATGTAGCTAGAGATAGTTGCAGTGTTCACAGCATACAAAACAGAGTATTACGTGTGCACATAGATCTATTGACTTTAAATAATTATAAACTAGTGTGTGGTATATATATGTTTGAGTGTTAGGGCTTAGAAATCTAAATTAATTTCCTGAAGCTTGGCAAAAACTGGTGAAATACCAATGCTGATGTATTTGTTTTACAGCTTGTTACTGAATCTCAGGGAGGCAGCATAGAGCTATGTTGACAGGTCTTTAGTATGTGTTTGCTTACTTACACTGAAATAAAACTACAAGGATGATAATACAGTGTTCAGAGAAAATAAGAAATTTAAAAATAATTATGTATTCCTCTCTTTAGGCATCTCAAAACACCCTAAATTCCATGTGGTATATGGAGGTTGGTTGCATCTAAGTTCCTGTTTCAATGTTTGGAGCACTGTGTCTCATCACTGATGGAAAAACTAGAATCCAGCACTAAACTTGTTAATAGTTGCTGCATAAGTTTTTGCGCTCATTGAATGAGTAATTGACAATTTTGCTTTGGCTTCATGGCTCAAACATGCTTACTAAGTATACACTTTTGTTATTTTTGCTTTCCTTTTGTTGCATTTACTGCGGCATGCAATGTTTGTACTGTGGGTGGCCCTTTATTGTGAGTAACTTGCCTTTCTCCTTTAGCTGCCATTAGCTAATGTGAATACGTTATAATATTATAGCCTAATAGTGAACTTTAAACAGACATGCAATGTATGAAACCTTGATGTGCAGGTGAGAGAACTTCGAGAAAGAGCTAAGGCTTACAGGCAACGAGTAGAAGGAACACACTTCTCCCGACACCATCTCAATCAGATCCTGTCCGATAATAACAGTCTTTGGGATGTGTCCTCAAATTCCAGTTCAGAAGAAGGCATCAGCAATGACATCAGAGCACTAGATCTTGCCGGGTAAGGTCGTTATTCCTGCCTATTGTTCTGCAGCTTTGAAACAGAGCAAAATGCTGAATGTAGGTTTAGCATAGCTGTGAGATCTTGGATGTTTGACTATATTCAAGATGCAATGGGACAGGGTGCTCAGTAATCTCATCTAGGCTCCCTTCCCCCATAAAAGGCTGGACCAGATGGTCTTTCAAGGACCCTTCCCACTTGGGCTGTTCTACGATTCTGTGATATGTAAATTCTCTGGAACAGAGGAGGCTGTTTACCTTTTCGTAGATACATCAGTTAATCTATGCTCAAACTGAAAAGGAGGCACAGTCCAGTTTTCTGAAAGAAGAGAAAGTTAATCCTTTATAATTCTCCACAAATGCATACTTAGTGTGGCAACCTTAGTCTCATCAAGTCTGGAGGAATTTCACACTGAGTCATACTGAAGTAATAATCCTTCCACTGGAATGATATGAAATATATTTTGCCTACTTGGATGCTATCAGTGTTCTGATATGAAGATTTAGGAACTGGAATGGTGTACGTCCATTTTCTCCTTTCTTTGACGGCCATCAGAAATGGCAGATATTAAATCCCTTGCTAGGAAAATTCAGAATCAGTATTTTAGTAAATTGTACAGTCAGCTATTGCTGAAGCAAGGAGGTAAAAAGCAAGCCATTTGCAACTTCTGTGAGATCTGATATTTAAGAACAGTGCCTTGGATGCCTCTGTCTGCAGTCCAGTTAGACTGCTGTATGCGCCCTGCTTGTGTCTGTGTGAGAGGTCTACCCATTTGCATAACTAGCTCTAATAAGGGTTGGGGGGGAGTATTTATTACACTATAATATGTGATACTAAGTATGGTGTAATTTTTTTTTTACTGGTTGTTTTTTTTGCCTGTGAAATACAGATCATCTTGCTGATCTCATTTCTGTGTACTGGTCTAATCTGCACTGATTTCTATGAGTGGCTGAGAGTTTAAGACTTTCAAAAGTTGTGCCAGAAGAGGAGTCTTCTAAACTGCTTGGCTTTCAGAATTGTGCCATCAGACAGTCCCTATGTGTGGAACTAGTTATTTTATGAGCACTGCTGATAATCTAACTTGTTGTTAAAAGTGGAAATAGAACCCTGATTTTACATTATGATTTTGGAAATGGTAATCCAGAGAGAGTTTTCATAGAATCTAGTTTGAAAATGGGTTGTGCTTAAACAGCAGTTAAAACTTAAGTGGAAATTTAACCATGCATCATGTCAACTGTACCACTTTTTAGTATCTGAGCTGTACTTTTGGCAAAGGACTGAACTGGATGAATGTGTTCTGCATAGACACGTGCATATCATGGAAATCAATGGTATGAAACACTGGTTTCTTTGTTACCTAGAGTTTCTGAAAAAGAGAATGCACCAAGCCCCAAAATTCTGCAGCCGCCTGACTCCAGAGAACAGCCACACCAGGACAGCACTGAGAAGAAAGACATGTCAGATGCTTTAACTGTTCCAGTCAAAAGGCATTTAGTTTGGGGTGAACAAGAAAGTATTGAAGAAAGGGAGAATCTGCAACCAACAGAAGAGGAAGAAAAACAAGACAAACAGGCTGCAGTTGTGACTCAGCAGTTAGGAGAAAACAATAAGGATGCCAATGAACATAAGCAAATTGAAGGGTAAAACTGAATGTTTTTGTGGAGTATATATATAAATTTTTCCTCTTAACAACTCAGAAGTTAGTAGATTAACTAATTTTTGTTTTGAAATCAGATTTACTTGAGAGAGTGTAAGTTGGTGTGACACTACTTTTGTTTTGAACAGTATGATAAGGAATGAGAAAGTTAAGACATTGAACTGGTTGATGGAAATGGATTTGTCATTAAGAATACTGGATTTCTGACTTGCAAGATGGAAGTTAGTGGAAGCATGAACAATTCTAATGTTTTCTTCCAAAACTTTAAAATTTGCAATATGAGCCTCTCAGAACAAACTGTTCATTAGGCAGCAGCCAAGTGTAGTGAAAACTAAAGCTCACAAATTGACAGCGTAGGACTGATGGGACTGAAAGGGTAGAATACATGCTAATCTTGTGCTTAAGCATCTGTTTTTCTTAAAAGAAATTCATGGGCAAAGATAGAAAACTTGGGAGAAAAAAAATAACTAGCATCTAATAATCATGTTATGATTATGTTACTGAGCACAGGTGGGAAAATGGTCGTGAGGTGTTTAGAAACAACGAGATTAATTCAGTATGTGCATACTACTGTATTTAACAGGTGAAAGATCCAAACTGCATCTAGTTACAGAAGTCTCTGGCTTTTTACTGTGCAAGTTTTGTATGCTTTTTTTGGTAGAACAATATTTTAATTTGATAGATGTTTAAATCTGAATAACTTTCACCCTTGTTATCATACCATTTAAGCATTTTGTATTCCTCATTGGGTTTTATCTTTGGTGTTGCAGCACGAGTCTAAGGTAAGGAATTGTAACTGTCTCCTTTGGGGATAATACCCTGTATGCAGAACCTAGGCAAAGTTTGAGATGTCAAATAGAAATTAAATGCAGGCTTTCAAAACTGTCATCCTGAAAACCTTCTTAAGTCTCTATCTAATTCTAGAGCCGTGTCTCTGACATTGAAGATTTTCTGTCATCCTGCAGTGTGGCTGTGTGTGTACTGCGATGTGCCCTGGACTTGGCCATGCGGAGCAGCTTAACACTTGCACATTATCTAAACGTGCCTGAGCGGTAGAGCTGAGGTGTTCTTTGCCTACATGTCCTCAGAGCATGTCTAGCATGCACTGATAGGATCAGGTTGCTTGCACTGTGTGGGTATGCCACCACCTCCTTTTGAAATGCATCTGGAGGAAGAAGACAGAAGTGGTAGTGCTGATTTATTTAATAACCTGGGGGCTAGAGCAGTTGCACAAATGTGGAATACATGGTTTCAGTTCCACCGCATTGACTGAGAAAGAGTCATACCTGCATTCCCACCTCTAAGGTGGCAGCCAGGTTCAAAGTTTTTCTGGGCGAGTACTCTTTCCAGCCCTCCTGTTGAGTCTCTGTTACTGTGCAGCAATACGTTCAAGGTTTGCTGAGACAGAGGGAGCCTGAATTTGCCTCTTGAGACTGTTCACATATGTTATCCAGTTACATAAAAAGAAAAAATACAGAAACTGAGGTTCAGAGGCTGGAATCCAGGACTCCCCATTACAAGCAGATGTTTTAGCTATAGGCTGTTGGTGTTTTATGGCCCTAACTGTCTTGCCTTAGGTTGCATTGTAGGAACGTATTAGAAACAAAAACCTTGAGTGCAAGACTCTGAGTCCTTAGCTAATCCTGTAATAATTTCTCATTTTTTGCAGTCTGAATGCCTTAGTATTGAATTCTGCTGCAGCCATATCAGATGATTCTTCTGTATCCTCGAGGACTGGCGGCAGGCTTCCTACTCCAAAGCTGAGAGCACTTGGTGGAGCTCAGAGGACTCATCATGATCTCACTACCCCAGCTGTTGGTAAAAACTTTTAAATACAAAGCAGTATTTGAAGAACTAAAACAAACAAACAAAAAAGATGTGTATGAATTAATTTAGTAGGTTATTTAAGGCAAGAAAAACATTTTTCATCTTCTCCACTACAATAGGAGGTGCGGTTCTAGTGTCCCCTCTTAAATTCAAGTCTTCATCTACACAGCAGAGAACACGAGGTTTAGGAACAGACCCTTCTTCAGCTAAGCAAGGTGCAAGAGAACCTTCAAAAACAAGGTCCTTCCAGGTGAACCAGAAAAGAGATTTACTGTTATGCATTTTAAGAATGTGATTTTTAAGTAATTGTGAATAATTTATTTAATAATTCTTTTTCTTGAGTTGTCATTTACTATTCTAAAATTTTTGGTGTCTGTGACTAAAAAGGCTTATGTCTGAGTAAATCATATTTTTGGGATATCAAGAAAAGCATTGACACTGTTGGAGTGAGATTGGGTGAGCTCCATTTTGGCTTTTTCTGCTAAACGGACAGGATCATTTTAAAAAAAAATTTAACAAGTTGCCATCAGGAGCTGTTGATTTTCCCATTAATGTTACTGTAGCTTGTCGCTGACCTAGGACACAGCTCCAGATTCCTTGACTTGAAAGAAGTTTAAGAAGGAGAGGTTGGGTGCCTATGTACAAGATAGGTAAATCTTGTAATAGTTTCATTCTCCCTTTCCTTTATTTTTGTGCTTCTTTTACTTTGCAGCTTGCACAGTTACTGAAAGAAAAATAGAAACATTTAGGAGTTGTTTAACTGTCTTCCTCTCAAAATTGTGGGTTTTTTTCTCAAGTTGTGCTTAGTCTGTGTTCTACAAAGACACGTAGCATTTCACTGCATGCATTCTCTGTAGTAAGTTCTGTAATAGAAGCAGACACAATTGCATGAGAAGTCGTTGGTGTTGATTTAAAATCGAAGATCACAGTTTTTTGCTGTGAAGAAAATAAGCTTTTGGTTTGATCTGACTAGATTATTTTCAGACCATGTTAAACACTTCTTATTAGGAATAGTTTTTCTTTAAGCTGTCTCACAAGCTTGAAATACTTATTCTTCCAGCACCCTCATGAGAAGTGTAACAGTGTACAGCCAACATTTGCTGCATATGTGAGGATCTGTACTGGAAGGCTGTACATGAAATGTTGGGGTTTTGTGTGTGTCTGGTTTTTTTTTTTTTTCTTTCTATTGTGTTTTAGCCTGATGTGAAAGTGGAAGCTGTTTCACTCCTTACCTCTCCGCCTGCTGGGCTGGGAACTTTGGATCCTCTGCCACTTAGGCAGGATCACTGGCCTCCTAACGGTGTTTCTGATGAGCAAGTTCCTATTGCTTCAGCCCATCAAGAGCATTCCTCTACACCTCCTGTGTTGAAGTCAGCCAAAAGCTGCTCTATGCCTTGCTGGAGTCCCTCTCATCGTATTCAGGGGACTCTCAAGGGTCCAGAATTCCAGCATAATGGTGGGTTTTGTGTATGAACAGGCTGTGTTAGAGTGCTGCAGAATGGAAAACATGTCAGGCCAAGACAGTGCTGAGCTTGCTGCCTTACAGGCTCTATAAAGAATGCATTGTTTGTACACAAAAGCTTTTCTACTAGGTGTTTAGTCTTGCTGAGGAAATGCGCACAACTCTCCACCTTAGTTTCAGATTCCACTAACATAATTGTATTCTAGTGGTCTGTTATCTAGTTTTGCCTTATTAATTTCAATAAGTGCTTACTCATTAGGAGAATAATTTGGTTTAGCATGAACAGTTGCAATTTTTAATCTTCAGGCTACAACTGCTTGCTGTGGCACTTTTCCAGCTGCAGTTACCAACAATGGTGTGTAACTGGGGATCTTTATAGTGTGGTATTGTTTTGCAGGAGCTGTGGATTTCTGAGAGATAAGCTCCTTAAATATGTCTGCAGGATATGGAAACAAAAAAGTGATCTATAAAAGATTTATTGCATATTGAGAAAAGCCATTTCTTGGCTGAGGAAAAATTTGTGCTGGAGCATTTAAAAGATTCTTAACAATGTTTAAGGGTACTGGGGACATAAATTTGACGAAAAAAAGAATCCTTCACCCCTTAGTCAAAATAAAGTGTATGTGCTTAAGTCTCCATTCCAGAAAGACTTTCTGTAGCTGCTTAAGGTCCCACAATTCTTGGTGCTTTTGTTATAAAAATTACCTAAACTGAAGTAGTATTTCCCTTCTAGAATCGAACATGTAGTTGTCAGGTTAAGTGGGATGGTGAAATCCAGAGAATTTCGTCAGAAAGAGCTTAGAATCGGTGTTGTGTTGTAGCTCTGCATCTCGAGTGCAGTTCACCGAGTAACTTGCAGCATCTGCCAAAGATAGGTGCCTGGAGAAGCATACAGTGGAGTAAGTTTATTTTATCTCAGCTTAGAGTGAAGGAGTCTCGAAGTTTTCGGTATGTTTGCTATTTATAAGACTCATGTTTTGGAAATAATAATGTAACATTTTTAGAAGTTCTAAAATGAAATATTATCCTTTGTCTGTTCTGAAAGGATTCAGAACTGTGCCTTTGACTTTTTGTCTTAGGGAATGTTGGCAATCCAAAAATGAGATCCTTCCAGTTACCCCTCCAGGAAAGAAGCTATAATGATGAAGGTATTTCTTGTCCCAAAATATTGTTATATGTCATGTGTATATTACCTAGAGTAATTTTAACTTTTGCACTAATGTGAGATGTTTCTGAGTGCAGTAAGTAATACTCATTTATGTGTTTGCATAAAGAACTACTGCATTGTTTCATCAAAATAATTTGAAAAGGTTTATCCTAGTAATCTGAAGTGTGAATATGAAGGTGTATTCTAGTATAAACTATTAAATGCGGCTGAAAATTGAATAGACCGTTACAGCTCAGTATGGTTACTATAGCTTGCTTAGTTCCATACCTAAAATCGTTTCCTCCCCACACATTTTTTTAAGCCTTTTTGTTGATAGCTGCAGAAGCAAACTGCAAAATCATCACAGCCCAGGTTGCAGCTTTGGATGCAACTTGTAAGGTAGCAAAAATCTTAAGATAAATATTTTTGCTTGTGAGACTTAAGCACCAGATATGCAGCATATAATGATTCTTCTGACTTTAATTTTCACACCTGTTCCTCTACTCATTCTGTTAGGGGTACTTATGGCATCCTGTTATTTTGATTGCTGTTTTGGCCTTTACAGTTAATCTAGGGGAGCTGCACAGCCCGCCAGTGCATCTTCTTGGCTGGTTTGTGGGCAAACACAAAAAGTCTTTCGGTAGTGTGAGACAACCAAAGGCATGGTAGCTGCATTAGCTTGAGCTGCTGTACATTGTTTCGTAACATGGTGTATGAGGTTGAGCTTGGTGTGGTGTTGTGCTAGTCACGATCACCTGTGTTTGGTTCAGATTAGAGTACGGGCAGAGCAACCTTGTATCTGATTGCAGTTTATTTATAGATATACCCCAGAGCAACCAAAAGCTTTTTTCTGTACCCCTTACGCTTGTTTGCTCCTTGGTTTTAACCAAGGTTCAGGCCGATTCTCTGTTTTACTCATTGCAGTTGGCTGGAAAATGTGTGGGTTGTGCAGATGGCTCAGCCAAGTATCTGTTTATCTACATAAAACATGCAGAATCCTATAGTACTCTGCAGCTTCCCACAAGCTTGCTGCACACAGATTAAATGCTGCAACTGCTGTTTCTTTTTCTTTTTTTTCCTATGAGCTGAGTGATGTTGTATGAGCTTTCAGAAACAAGTGCAATGTGCCAGCTCACAGATATTGCATATGCCCATATCTGTCCATGTACATGCAAACCTGGCAGTTTCCAACGACATGTCTGTCTGCAGAAGTGCAGTTACCAATTTGCTCATACATGGGAATATAGTTGTTATGCGTAGTGTGTGAGCCTGTTACAGGCTGTTTGGATCGCTGTATTTCAAGAATTTAGAAATGCTGCTGAAAAGTTAATTGAAACACTGACAAAGTACAGGTCCTGTTAGAATTGAGTTATGGAATTTTTTGTTGTTTTTCTGTTGGTAGCAGGGGCTGGAAAGTAGTGATACAGTTCTTTTTAATCCATTGCAGGAGAATGGGTGCAATTAAGGTCATTTTTCACAGAGAACATCTTGACAGAGCTGTAGCGACATTTTAATAATGATAAAGAAGTATAATGTGCTCTATCAGAGAAGCAGCATCCAGGCTGCTTAATTTCAAGAGTTCTGCTGGGTGTGAAGTGGACCCTGTATTCAGAAGAAAGACCTTTCAAAAGTACATTTTTTAAAGCGTGCTTCTTGTTGTATTTGTGTTAAACTTCCTGTTTTCTTCAGAAGACACATTTCTTTTAACAGCTTGTGGCACACTAGCTGGTTTTGGCACAGCAGGGCTCTTTTGGTGACATTGGTTCTGATATTTTAGTCTGGTGTTATTCTAAGGTTGTCCGCTTTGCTTGAAGCCATGAGTTGCTTTCATGAATATGTTATTATCAGGAGTCTAGTCTAGACAGACTTTGGTGGCAGAGGAACAGTTCTGAGGTCTTTTGACACAGGAAAGTGAATGTGGAGATGACTTGCAGAATTGGGCAATTCCCAGGTGACAACAGGGATCTCATTCTGGAGTTTGTCAAGAGTTGGGCATGTAGCTTTCTTAAACTTACCTAGCATCTTAGTAGCTTTATAGTAAGATTCTTCTCCAGCATGTCAGTTACCAAGTAATAGAATTAAAGTGTATTGTGGTGCTATTTTAGCATCCATTGTGAAGGAGAGCTTAAAAATATTTGCACTTTCAGAGTCTGCCATGAATGTTAACTGTGTTTTAATATGTATATTTAATCCTCCTGTTTACTTTTTCCCTTGTTGCTTTCCCCACAGATGACAGGTTGTCTCAGATTTCTGCCCGCTCAGCAGCATCTAGCTCTCTTGCATCTCAGATACTGGAACGGGCTCAGAAGAGGAAGGATTTCTGGGGCAAGATATAACCTCTCCCACCTGTTGTATAGAAACTGTTTTTATAATTTTTTAATAGTTTTTTGTGTACATTTTAAATGTAGATATCATGCAGCATCTTTTCACTTATCACTGAGATGGCCCAACTTTTAGGACTTGCTATCCCAATTTGAAATTTCAATAGTTAAATGAGTGATGAAAATGTAGGTCCTTTATATCTGAGAGTTATGTCTTAATTCACAGTGTCAAAACAGCCATGTGGGATTTTATTTTTTTACAGCGACGCTTCTTGAAACCAAGATAATTATTTTTTTGTATGCAACCTGTGTGTTACTTTTCAAGTTATTCTGCTACAGTCATGCAGTATGACCTGGGACAGTATTCAGGGGCAACTCAATCATTCACCAACCACCTCAGCTGCTTGATTTTAACCAGCTATCTTAAAGGCAACTGTGGTATATTTGTTTATATTACTGTATGAATTGTCAGTATAACACAATGCTGTAATAAAAATTTACTATTTACTGCTTTTAACCTGTCACCAAAAATTCGTACTATTTTGTAATGAAGCTAACATGGAACATACAGGAGTTTGAGAAAAGGTCACTAAGAGTTAGGATTTTGATCATTGTCCCCAGTTTTTTGGCCAGGATGACTGTTAGAGTTCAATGTGTACAGTACTGCAGTTCGTCAGATGTACTGATGTAACCATTTGTCCTTTTGCAGGCAAGACCTGTGTTTAGTGTTAATTTCAACTTCTCTAGAAAAAGCAACCTTAGCCACCTTAAACAGTGGCCTTCCCCAGCCCCACTTTGAACTCAGGTATTTAGGAGTAGTTGATCTCTTAAAGTAAACTCAGAAGAATGTTTTTTCTTGACTTCGACATTTTAATTACCTCTCCTCCTCATTGCCTGTTTCTGGGAGACTGGCATACTGTTATGATTGTCACAGTGAAAAATGTTTGTAATTTATGCTGACAGCTTGTTTGCTCTTTCAAAGCAATGCAAACAAGTTAACATGAAGTAGCAGAAGTAGATGGCTAGTGGGCAGTTTGGTTCTTCTTGTGTGACTTCAAGTTTTAATATTACTTCATTTGGAATTTTTGTACAAGAAAAATTTGAATTTTCTACACATTTGCTTACATTTCAATTTTGTACACAATTATGTATGCATATTACTGCAAATAAAAAAAGGTTGTTTGATTTGTTTCTATTCGAGTTATGCTGAATAAATTGGTAGAGCGTATTGTGTAGGCACTTCTCTGTTTAGTTCTCTGTTTCACCTGTTCATCTGGAACATCTGTGGCCTTTTGAAAGACAAGATGTTACCTTGGAACTGATCTTCGGAAAGAAGAAGTTACTAAAGCTAGATATATTCATACCTGGAATCGTGACCCAAAGCAAAGGAGTGCTACACAGACTGGAAGGCTGCAATGCCCGAAGGGCCCAGTCCCCAACAAATGAGGTGTTGATTTAAAGAGTGAGTGCTGTCCATCACTGATCATGTTAGAAAAGAGCATCCACTTTTTCCAGAAATTGTGCATTGCAGTAGCTTCATACCAGTGGAGTTGTTTGAAACAGATCAAAGTATTTTATTTTATCTCAAGACCTTCTGGGATTATTTTGTGGCGTACGTTTAACACGTAAATTATAATTAATCAGAAAGTTTCTACTGAAAGTGAAACTGTAGTTGTGTGCACAACCTTTATGAAAATTGCCGTTTTTCCTCTAAAATTATAGTTTTATAGTGGAAAAGTTAATGGCTAAAAATGGAGATAGTTTTTTTTAGGAGGGAATGTTGCTGCAGTGTGTTGTGGGTGGGTTAGTTTGGGTGTCTTCTGTCCACATTCTTCATAGGGTTCAACATGTTCTCATGGTTCTTGTGGCCAAGAGCTCTCCTCATCCATTACTTCTCCTCTGTGGTACCTGTAACTTGAGTTTTATGAACTTTTCTAGGTTTGCCTGGGGGGATTCCTGGCAATCCAACAGCTCTGTCAGAGTTTTTGTGCAGCTCTGACTGTGAGGACTGCAAGTCATAGACATTATAATGGCATATGTGCCAATTTTGCTTACAGTATTGCACCATTAGTCTGGCGCATCTGAGTAGCTCTGAGTTTTAGGCGTGTGTTGTATGGAATGTGTAGGTTGATTTCTGCCAGGGAGACAATAGATGTGGTGAAGGAGGGAGACATTTTTGTTGTATGGGGGTACAAAGCCAATTTAGAGATGAGAATGGAAGCCCCTGGTGTCCCACACATCATGACATTGTTTCCCATCTGAACGAATTTTAGCTTTTACCTGAAATGCTCTAATTGAATTTACTTTTGGACATAGTATTTAAGGGAAATGTAGACAAGATACCTCGAGTAATGCTAGTGAAAAGCTTTTGAAGTGTGCTCTTCTGTAGTCTTCAAGGCAGATGTAAAATTGTTTATGCCTGCTTTTGTTATTGTTGTTTATCTAGTTCAAGAGGGTTTTTTGTTTTGTTTTTCTGACCATTTCAGACCAGCATTCAAACATGTTTCCTCTTGCGTTTTCCAGGAAGCTGCACATGGAAAAAAGGTTCAAAAGTGCACCCTTTTTTAAAGATTACAAGTGCGTGCTGTACAGTGAATGTGTATTGTTTTCTGTCAAGGAAATCTTAGAAGCCTTGAAGTGGAGAGACCAAGTAGGTAAACAAGGAGGAAGGCAGTTGCCAATAGGAGATATATCTAAGGAATAAACAGCTTTGGGAACTCGTCTGTCGAGATTTACAAAACCAGCATGTTTTCAGTGGACCCAGTGAAGAAGTGTTGAATTGAATGTCTTCAGCTGCTGTTCCCAAGTTGGGTATGCCCACTGGGTGAATCTCACTGCTGGGGGTTCACAGCTCTCAACTGCCTGTATGAGTAAATAAGCCAGCTGTTCCTCACTGACTGCTGCCAGCTGGGAAAAGGCCTTCCTTTCTGCCAAGAAGGCATTCGCCCAGCAAACCCCCAAAGAGCAGACTTGATTCCAATTTGTCACTTCTCAAAGGTTCCCATCTTGCCAGATAATAAGCCTGTTGCCTGTCTGCGGGAATGAGAAGTGAGCTCTCGGTTTCTTCTACTGAAACTTTTTTTGGATAAAAATGGTTGATGGCCTAGGGGTTGGAACAAAGATCTCCCTGTTCCCAAAGCTGTGCTCGCTGTAGCATCCTCCTCCTCTCCGGCTGAATCACTCGGGGTGGAATGACTTCAGCAGAAGAGATGAAGCGCCTTTCTCAGCGCTTAGGCAATTCCTCCAGGGAGGTTTGCATGCCCTGGGCATGAGGAGAGTTTTGAGGTTTTAGCTAAATGCTTACAGTAGCAGCAAGGTAGTATTGGACACTTGCATCCTTTTATGGGCTTTCATTTCTTTTCAGATTCTCGATTTCCAGTGCCTCTCACGATGCATCAACCTTCTCTGCTTAAAATGCTGGAATTACCCTTGAAGCCCTGGATTGAACAATTTGAGAAGAATCAGTTGGGGCTTTCCAGCTCTGCAGGGAAGTTTGGGGGGACATCTGGGATTGTGGATAATCCCATCCAATTAAAAAAACCCTGCTAAAATGTATTAGTTTTGCAATAATATTTTGTTGTTACACTCAAATTTTAATGCCTTACTGAGGTGAGTTCTGAAACATCATGTGGGGTATATAAATGTTGTTATAAATGTAAGCAGTCAAGATTCTTTAGCCATCAGAGCTAGATTGCTTTTAAGGAAGGTGTAGGCAACAAGGCATGTTTTTGGGGCACAGTCTGGATTATGTCCTGAGGCTGCCCAGTGCTCTTCCCGTGATCATTAAATCACTATGGGGATGTTGTTGTATAGGGATTTTTTTAGACTTTTTCGATGAATAGATCCATTTATCTTCTATATTGCTCATATGGATCACCGTGTAGTGAGTAACAACCTCCTTAAAATGGGTTTACCCTCACCAATGTCTTGCAGGTAGTGTGAGTTCCCCCTGGACCCTCAGGACCACAGCCTGAAACCCAGTGTATGTTACAGAAGGGTGAAAGGAAGCCAAGTTACTTACCAGCCACCAGCTTTCTCCTTCACTCTCAAATTGTTCGTTTCCAGGTACTAAGATCTTTTCCTTATCTGACTCTTGGTGTCATTGCTTTCTGGCAGATGGCAGTGGAGGAAAAAGGGATTTCCAAATACTGTCCATAATACTTGGTGAGCAAATTTGTAGTACTTGAAGACAGGGCAGGAAGCACAGCTTCTTTGAACAACTGAGTTTGTGATTATTTGCATAATGCCATATTGCTTCATTACATCTGTCTGTTCCTGCAAGGCTGAGCTGGCACCTAATGTTCTGCTATCAGAGCAGTTCTCACCGTCTGGTTAGATTTGTCAGGAAAGAGCCCCATCACCATCTGATGCAAGGGGAAGTTTTGCTATGCCTTTGTTGACCAATTTTTAGTGTAGTCTGAAACAAAATTGTTCCATTACCCAGATGCATGCAAGTGTGTGATAAAGAAAACAAACCCAACGGTAATTTTCATTTGAAGCGACCTAAATCAGTGTCCTGATTCCAGCTGTTACTCAAACCTTTGCAGACAGGAGCCTCAGGAAGAGAGAAGAGGATGGTGGAGCTGCAGTTAACTCTTTGGGACGCAGTCAGTTCTTTGGCTTTGCTGTGCACCAAAACCCAGTGGGAAAATGTTAATCACATAGCAGTGATCACACTGAAAGCAAAAACTGAAGAGAGGACAGTGGATGGCAGCTAACCAGAAGACTCTAGTTTCATAGAAATCCAAGTTCTGTTTTGCTTGTTGATCCGAGTTTAACAGTGTTGAAGAAGGACATCGGGAGTTCCATGTTAACAATGTGATTGAGCTTCCTAAATATTCTGGTATTTAATAGAGTTTATCTGTGTTGGATGTGAGCTGACCTTGCGAGGTTTCTGTTTCACAGGCTGTGTTCTAGAGAAGCTTGTGGAGTGACTGAGCCCTGCCTAGCAGATTTGAACTTGGCGTGCCAAATGTGCTGCGCGTGGGAAGAGTCCTGAGAAACTCTGAAGGATG